CTATCTATCACAGGTTGCTAATGAGTCTTCCTCCTCTCCAGGTGACCTGGTCTTTGTATAGACCAAATTCTCGGATTATTTGCTCAGCAAACAGATCAAATCAGTATGGTGTGTGATACGTTTGAAACAAAAGTTCTAACATACACATCTATCCTTAGAGAATTTTTTCTAATTCTGTAAAGCAGATTTAGTCAGAATAGCAGACTGTGATAACACGGAACATTCCCTTCTCTGGCTATAAGTTATTGGAAATGATGGACATATATAAACTTGTGGTTTAGAAAGGTCATTTTTGTTTTAAGATCATATTTATAAGTTTGTATTTCTGCTCATAGTTGTGTGTGACATTTTTCACTGTTTTAGTACCTGCACCAAGAAAAGAAACTACTTCATGGAGATATCAAGTCTTCAAACGTTGTAATTAAAGGTGACTTTGAAACTATTAAAATTTGTGATGTAGGAGTCTCTCTACCATTGGACGAAAATATGACCGGTGAGTAGTAATCCACTTAAAAGTTTTGTTTTTATAAAAATATTTTAAATTTCTAATTTTTATGTGGGTTGTTTTGTGCTTTTGGATAGTAATTCATATGGTTCAAAAAACCAGAAGTATTTTAACTTTAAAATAAAATATATAATGAAGTATCCCTTTCTTGTCTCTTCCATGTAGACTCCAGCACACTACTGCCATATGTTGTTTTTGACACTGTAAATCTTGGCTGGAGCCCTGTCTTTTTCCCTCAGAGTGCCTGATGGGCTCACATTGCTGACCTTGGGGTTCACAATCCAGTGCTTATCCTACAAGCCACCAAACTTTGTACTGCCATATACACAATATAAAGGAGCTCTGGTAGCATAGTGGTTACGAATCGGGCTGTGAACCGCAAGATCAGCAGTTCGAAACTACCAGCTGTTCCATGGGAGAAAGATGGGCTTTCTGTTCCCGTAAATATTTACAGCCTCAGCGACCCTATACAGGGTTGCTATGAGTCGGAACCGACTCCACGGCACACAACAACAACACAATACACAATATAAATTATTGATATCTTAATAATATATATTTTATTGAAAATAACTTTGGGGAACATTCATAAACTAGATTAATGGATTTAAACTAAAAACTTTACAATCATTTCAATGGGTACAGGAAAAAACAAACATTTTGACAAAATCTAATAACGTGTTCTTGATGAAAACTCAGTTAACTAGAAATAAAGGGAATTTCGCTTACAAAAGTCTATAGCTGATATCTCAAATAGGGAATACAATAAGGATACTTGCTTTCACTAGTGTTATTTAACATTGTAGTTCTAGCCATTAAATAAAACATTAAGATTAGAAATGAAACAAAACTCTCTGTTTGTGGTTGATGTTTAGGTAGACAATTCCATAAGTATAGAAATTGCACCAACCATTGTTCCCACAGCACTCTATGTCTCAGCTGAGTTCAATGATTCATTTTAATGTCCACACAACTGAAGACGCTGTACTCATAGTTAAGGAGTTTATTAGGAAAGCTAGGAGGGTAGCAATTAGGGTCAGAAAGGCTCAGGACACAGTTCTGCAGTCATGGCACTTTCTCCTCAGCTCTTCCTGCAGTCAGGCCTCTTACTGGCCCTGTGTGCCTAGCCCTGGCCTCTGGCCTGCTTAGGTAGTGTTACAAAACTCTTTTAGGACTGCTGAAAAGTGCCCAAAGGACATCCCACTTCTCTATAAGCCTCTACCTAAAGGCACTTGGCTTTAGCCAACAAACCTAGCTCGGCAATTAAATGCCTGGAGACACCCCACTACACAAGTGAGCCATCTGCCCAGAATCACTCAGCTTTACTTGTAAAGCCCTGGGGACCAGAAAGCCCACTGTACTGTCTGATTCTCTGGCTCTTGGTTTTGCCGCTGCTGTTGCTCTGCCACTCCTCTACTCCTCCTCTGGCGTCACAGCTTTCTGTTCCTGGGTTCAGGAGGTTTGATGTGCAGGGATCTCAGGGTTCAAAGGACACACTCCACTCCTGACTCTTCTTCCTTAATAGACGTGAAATCCCCGTGTTCCTGTTTCTCAGATGGCTTATATTAAACCCACATTAAAGTTCCAAGTTTTTACAATTAACCCTGTTAACCACCATTCACAGCAAAACCATATAATCCTATCTGCATCTTTGCCCACCTTCTTTTACCCAGACCCATCAGGAAAAGGTGGTTTGGTGGGAGTTACAAAAACTATGGGTAGAAGAGCCATATGAAGTAATTCACTGCACTGCACTAGAAAACATCTATTAGGATTAATAAGAAATTAGCTGTTGCATGTCTATATATTATTGTTGTTAAGTGCAATTCTGGCTCTTAGCAACCCTGTATAGGAGCAGCTGGTGGGTTTGAACTGCTGACCTTGTGGTTCACAGCCCTACAGCGTCCCACCAGGAGTCCCCGCCACACCAGCAGCAAATAATTAGAAAGTGCCTTTTATATATATATATATTTATAAGTGCCAAGAAAACAAAATACTTAAGGATAAATCTAACAAAATAAATCTACTGAAAAATTTAACACATCACTGAGAGAATTAAGTAAGATTTAGATAAAATGTTGTTGTTGTTATCAGGTGCCATCGAGTCGGAACCGACTCATAGCGACCCCATCCACAGCAGAACGAAACAATGTCCGATCCTGGGCCAACCTCACTACCACTGCCACACTTGACGCCATCAATGATGCCACCTGGCTGATCCATCTCGTTGGGGGTCTTCCTTTTTTTCTCTGACCCTCCACCTTACCCAGCATGACATCCTTCTCCAGCAACTGTTCTCTCCGGACAATGTGTCCAAAGTATGAGAGACGAAGCTTAACCATCCTGGCCTCCAAGGAGCACTCTGGCTGCACTTCTTCCAAAACAGATCTGTTGGTTCTTTTGGCAGTCCACGGCACTTTTAGTATTCTCCTCCAACACCACAACTCAAAGGCATCAATTCTTCTACGATCTTCCTTATTCACTGTCCAGCTTTCGCATTCATATGAGGTTATTGAAAATACCATGGCTTGGGTCAGGCGCACCTTAGTCCTCAAGCTGACATCTCTGCTCTTCAGTACTTTAAAAAGTCCCTGTGCAACAGATTTGCCCAGTGCAATACGTCATCTGATCTCTTGACCGCTGCTTCCGCAAGTGTTGACAGTTGATCCAAGAAGAATGAAGTCCTTGACAACTTCAATCTCTTCTCCATTGATAAGAATGCTGTTTATTGGTCCAGTGGTGAGGATTTTTGGTTTCTTAACATTGAGTGATAGATCATAATTGCAGACTGGAATACTCAATACTGTTAAGATGCTAAGTCTTCACAAATTGAACTAGAGATTCATTGCATTCCTAGCCACATCTTTCTATCCCAACTGTCTTCTTCATTGAAATTGGTGTCTCTTTTATAAAGCTATTGCATAGTTTAAAAAGAATGAAGAACTGGGACTAAGAAATTAAGTGATCTCCACAGTCACATGACTTGTAAACATCTTTGAGTCCAGGCATTCTGGCTCCAGAGTCCATCCTCTTGACATTTGTTTTCTGTTTACATTCCTACCACTTTTCAAAGACAACTCCTGTTTCTCAACATCCTTGCCAACTAACCACGTTTTTGTGTATTTACCAGCCTGATAGGAAAAAAATGTCATTCTTACCTGTGAGGTTGGGTATATTTTCATGTTTATTGCCTACATTTATTAGTCTATTCAAAGTCACCATTGTTCTTTGGGTTGCTTGACTTCCTGATTTACAGTGCTTTCTCTTATGACTATTCTGCCTATATTTAACCGTTTCAGTGACTGAGCCTGAGGCCTGTTATATTGGAACTGAGCCATGGAAACCCAAAGAAGCTTTGGAGGAAAATGGTGTTATTACCGACAAAGCAGACATATTTGCCTTTGGGCTTACTCTGTGGGAAATGATGACTTTATCTATTCCACACATTAATCTTTCAGATGATGTTGATGAAGGTATGAATAATCCATATTTTTAAAATCTACTGTGTTCACTGTGAAGACATTAGAAACTTTCCTGTTATCTTTCCATTAAGTTAAAATTTAAAGAGCAAGATTTTTCACTTCATGACAGTTTCTACAATATAGAGTTTATTAATACTCATGACTATTAGGTACCATCTAGATTTAATCTCATACAGATGAGATGTGGATTGATTGAGAATAAGGCACTATGAGAAAATCCATAGGAGTAAGAAGTTACAAAAACTCCTTTTGCCTGAGAAAAAGTTAGAAGGTTATGAGAAAGTGGATATGGACTGATAACCTTTAAATTAAAGACAATAGGTGATCTATGGTAATGTCTAATGGCAGAACCATGTAAGGGACTGCTTATGATAGAATAGAAAGCATGCTAGACAATGTAGTCTAGTTTTGGGAGTATGAGCTTGAGCAAACTCTAAGCTTTTCTATGATTTAAAAATGATTCTTTTGTTTCAATCTCTATCTCCTTCATGAACAGATAAAACTTTTGATGAAAGTGACTTTGATGATGAAGCATACTATGCAGCTTTGGGAACTAGGCCACCTATTAATATGGAAGAGCTGGGTGAGTCATACCAGAAAGTGATTGAACTTTTCTCTGTTTGCACTAATGAAGATCCCAGATCCCGTCCTTCTGCAGCACACATCGTTGAAGCTCTGGATATGAATGTAGAGTGATCATTTCATTTGCATCATCTCGTCAGCATGAAGCATGACTCATGTATACAACTGTTCAGTTTAGTAATACATTTATATAATTACTATGATAACCTGTAATTATTAGACTGTTTGAAAGTGGCGTGTTTTAGGACCATGGCATCTTGTTAACATTTGAATAACCATTTTTAGTCTTAGGGTAAATTTATGCTTATGATGATAAACATAGGGTTATTTGATAATATGGGATTATAATGGGTTTTCTATGCAGTTTAAGAAGCTAGCTACTCATAAACTGTTCTATCTAATAATTCAGATAACTTTTATTAATGATCTCAACTCTGTTTTAATGTCAAAAATTAGTATACTGTCCAATATAAAATAAGTCTCTGTTTGCTTATATTTTATAACATTAAACCTTTTGCTGGCCTTTCTTGGCTGCTTGGTGTGCTTATTAAATATGGTCCCTGAAAGCTGAGACTATGGCTTCAAAGAGTAAGTCCGTGGATACTTTCAGTTCAGTTGTTATATAGCTTATCCTACACCTTTGGATCTCCCTGAATCTTTTGTTTTGCTTTAATTTTTTAAATATATTTTCTGTTCTGAAATTCCTTTTTAATTTACTAATTTATAACCTGGTTTTAGTACGAAAATAATAAAACTAAAATAGGACAGTACTGTGAAATAAAGGGCACTTTCAGGTACCAGGTGTCTCTGTATTATTATTTTTTTTTTGGTATACTTTAATCATTTGAGTGCTGTCATTAAACTGGTTTGAATGAATGTGAAGTTTCTTTTCCTTTTTAGCATGATTTTGTTAACTGTAGAAATAGTGGTTCCTCGCTGAACCAGAGCCTCTTGAAAATGTTTTATTGAATTGTGACTGAATCTAGGTGTTATGCCCAGACTTGACTGTTGATAGACTTTGAAGAATTATTCTCATGTAAGTGCTGTTAGAAAGATTAGGATCACTGCACTCTTAACTTTAAGATAATTCCAGAATTCACCGAAAGTTCTTTTAAATGTATATTTGTCATTTCATGTTAGGTTTGCCAAGCTAAAAGCATATCTTCTTCCTTACATAAACAAGTCCTGCTTGTCAGATCAAGCATGAATTGGAACCACCTTTTTTAAAAAAAAATTATTGTGAATTGAGTGAAGGTTTACAGAGCAGATCATCAGTTTTACATTCAAGAAATCATATACTTCATTGCAATAATTGTAGTCCTCTCCATTTATCATCAGTTAACAGTATTTACATCTATTCACTTCAACTATTGCATTCTTCTCTATGTCTTTGCTACCTTCTTTTCTCTGCTAACCTCCCTCTTGCTGTATACTGCCTTCCCCATCACCTAAGTTAACACGTATCTATATGCCCTAGTCTGTGAATAATTTTCCCTTCCCTCCCACTGTTGGTAACCATCATAGAATGTTTCTTTGATTTTCCCCTTGAGTCAGGATAGATCCTCAAAATCCTTATCAACATAGGGTTCCAGATAACCACTGCTATTTAGTCAACTACAAGAATATTTTATTTGCTCTAGAACTGGCTCCTTAAGTCTCAGGTGTCACTTTCCATTTGGCTCAGTCTCAGAATAAGTAGTAATGTGATTGGTTGAAGACACAGAATGACTCATCTTTTCTGTGAATTAGTAAAATCAAAAGTTTTTTTTAAAATTTTTTTGCTACGGTACTGTGAATTACTTAGTATGGCTCTTCTAACCAGACTTTTTGTAATCTCCCACCAAACGACTGGCTGGGACCATTCAAATTAGGTGTATTTTCTCTTTCTGATGGGTCTGAGTAAGAGAAGCAGGGGGTGGGGGAGATGCTGATAGGATAGTATGATTCAGTTGTGATTGATTGTTAACAAGGTTGTGATTGTAAAAACTTGGTAATCTAACAAGGGAATGGGTCCGTTTGCCACCCAGCTGGGTTTTAAATGAACAGGAAAGAGGGGATCTTAACAACAAAAAGAGAAGAGCCAGGACTGCAGTGCATCCTTAGCACCCCAAGTTCCCAAAGTGTTAAACTTTCTATATCCAGGATACAGCTGTGATGGCAGAGAAGCAGCAGTCACAGACTAAGAGCCAGTGCCTAAGACAGAGCAGTAGACTTCTCAGCCCATGGAGTGAGTAAAACTGAGTGCCTTCAAGTATGAGGCTTGCTTGTAGAGTCGGGTGCCTCAGGTATTTAACTGGAGGAGCTAGAGCTGAGTGGCTTCAGAATGAGGCTAATGGAAGTGATATGCACTCTGGGCATTTATTGGCAGCCCTAAAAGAGCTTTGTAATGTCTAAGTAGAATCCAAGGGGCCACAGGGAGACCTGCTTTCAGGCGTGGCTAGGAAGAGACTGTCCTGACCAAAGAACTGTCTTAAGCATTTCTGATCTGGATTTAACCCATAAATCATGTGTGACCATTGCAGAGAAAATATTTATCCCAGCTGAGAAGAATGTGCTGCGGGAGGGATGGTTGAGGGGTAGAGGTATGTCTGAGAATCTCCTTAGGAATTGGCCTTGTGCTGATGCCGATGAGGTTGATTTTCCTCCCTTTTTGGAGTTAGACAAGGCCAGACACCGCCTCCATGCTTTTTTCTATACCATCAATATACAGCCTCTGCATCTCTGGGTGGCTCAAATAGTTAAGTGCTGAGCTGTTAACCAAAAGGTTGGCCTATCTAGTCCACCCAGAGATACCTCAAAACAAAGACCTAATCCAATTTCAAAAGTCATAGCTATTGAGAAAACCCTATGAAGCACACATGAAGTCATTAGAATCAACAGCAACCAGTTTTTGTTTTATATGGCCTCTTTGAGCCTGTTCATACTCTAATAACTCCTGGTACTTCTATAATTTGTTGGTCAAATGTAAAAAACACACCATCCCATTCAAGTATTTCTCAGGTCATTTAACAAAGGAGTTACTTCAAAACTCACATATTTTATCATTCCATTCCTGATAGATTGAAATCAGCCTCACAGATGGGTCCTTTCTGGTCTGGCCAGCCTCATTCGCTAGCACAAATCCTCAGCCTGGAAGTCCCAATGGTTATAAGGGCAACATCACTTGAAGTCCACTGTTCCACCAGGGACTCTAAGGGGATGCTTTGTTGTTAAGTGCCATTGAGTCAGTTCTGACTTACAGCAACCCTGCATAGGGTTTCCAAGGAGCAATTGATGGGTTTAACTGCAGACATTGTGGTTCACAGTGGAAAGGTTTGCACCATTGTTTTGCCCTACTTGTTCAATCTGTACAGTGAACAAACAATCCTAGAAGTTAGACTATCGGAAGAATTGGCATCAGGATTGGAGGAAGACTAACCTGTGATAAGGCAGATGACACCACCTTGTTTACTACAAGAAAAGAGGATTTTAAATATTTGATGATAAACAAAACCTATAGCCTTCAGTATGGATTACATAACAAAGAAAACAAAAATCTTCACAAGTGGACCAAGAAGCAGTATCATGACAAACGGAAAAAAGATTAAAAATTATTTTTTCAAGGATTTCATTTTATTTGGAGCCACAATCAATACTCAAGAGAGCAGTACTCAAGAAATCAAACAATGTATTACAATGGGCAAATGTGCAAAAGAACTCTTTAAAGTGTTTGAAAGCCAAGATGTCAGCTTGGGGAATAAAGTGCCTCTGACTCCAGATATTTTCAATTTCCTTACAGTTTGTGAAAGCTGGACAATGAATAGGGAAGACTAAAGAAGAATTGATGCATATGAATTATGGTGCTGGTGAAGGATTTGAAATTACCGTGGGCTGACAATAGAATAAGTCTATCTTGTAATAGATAGGGTCTCTAAGTTGGAACCAACTGGATGGCACTTAATACGATTATGGAGAAGCTTCCTCTTCTGACATTCTCTATGTATTATCTGAATGTTTTACAAAGAGCATGTGTCAATCTTGTAACCACAAAAATAATTCAAAAAGAAAATCAGAGCATTCTAATAA